AACGTATAAAAAAAAATCTTTAATTAATTGTGTAACGATCTACAAACTCGGGGCACTCGGGACGTTCACCCCTGTTGAGCAGATCACGCTCAGTATCGGGAATAAGCATAGCGGGCTTTCATTCCGATTGGCTAATTTTTGTAGATCATCTTAGAAGTGACGTACCAAATTCGTCCAATCAGAAACCTGTAAATCATTTTACAATTAAATTTTCACACTTACTTAGCTTTAAATCAGTTAATTGGTTATAATGGCAAGTTAGATCTTCTAAATTTGGTAAATTTTTAATTTTTAATTCTATTAACTTATTAAAAAAACAATCCAAATTTATTAAATCTATATTGTTGCTTATCAAGAAGATTATATCGGCAACTTATTATTTTTAATTTTGGAGAATCACTTAAGTCTAGGCTAGTGATTTGGTTATTATCGAGAGTAAGATATTCTAGATTGCTGAAACCAACTAATGATAAGGATCCTTCAAGTTCCTTATTGCTTATATCCAATTCTTCACTTCTTCTCGACTCTTTAAAAAAATGAGAAGCATTCCCTTTCTCTTGGGTGATTTTTATTTAGTCATTCTTGGACATTTACCATATACTTTTTATGTTGCTGTTAATTCACATGTTATATATCAATTAAATTTAAATTTGGTTAGTTTATTGTCTTATTAATTCAATTTCTAGACCCATTTGCTCAGAAAATGCAGGTGCATTTTGAAATTCAAGTTAGGAATGGGAGTGAAAGAATTACTTAATTGTTTTTCTAAAGGATTTATTTCTTTTTCTAATAATGATTTTGCTATGTCTGCGTAATCTGGCGCATTTTTCGACAGGACTGACAAATTTTGTTTAATTCGACGAATTGACCGATGCAAAAATTTTTTTCTATCACTTTCTGCGTTCGGTTTTTCCTTAATATCCTCTATCTCTGCTCAATTCTTTAATTTCTGTGTTTTGATGCGTTTATCTAATTTTTTTTTTAAACATATAATTCCGTAACTCCTTAACAAACATGCTCATAATTTATGTTAATTTATTGCCTACCTTTCCGGAATTTCTAGCGTCGACGCGAATTTGTGGTCAAGTGCTGTATTCTGCACTATGTTTTTTAGAATTCTGTGAATTTTGTGGTATTCTGTGGTAATTAAGGGTGATTTCTGTAGTTTGCTGTGTTTAAGTGAAATTCTGTGGTTTTCTGTGAATCACAGAAAATCATCGTCCCTGCCTATAGCATCAAAGCTAAGGTATAAATGTAAATTGGTAACCAATTATAAAATATTAGTCAATCAACCGATTATGAGAAAGTTAGCCTATAGGGTTCGATGTTATGTAATCTATAATGATAACGACTCAATAAAATTAGTTCACCTTTTTTTGCAAAATTACATACAGTATATTACGACTAGAACCGATGTTTATCATTTTCTACGTTAAATATTTAGTCGTTTCAACAAAAGCGTAAAAATATTGATCTTAATTATAGCCTATGCCAAAAGTGCTGTTGATTATGTCAGTTATCAATGCTATTTTGCAATTTTCAATGCATATTATAGTATTATGAAATAATTAAGTTCCCTTTTATTTTTTATTTACCGTTTTTATACTTGAATCGATATTTTTTTTATTTAATCATTATGCTTGAATCGATCTTTCATCGCTGCGTATTAACACATACGAAATTGCCAGGATGTAACTTCATTACTCATATGGGCGGAAATTTTTAGTGGAGTGCTGTGACTATATAAAATTAAGTGATTATACTCATAAAAACTGGTAAGTAACGGATCAATTTTGATAAGTAATGGATCATTTTGCATCATTCTAGGTTATCTGTTCGGTATACTGCTCATAAAACTGATAGGTAACTGATAAGTAACTCATAAGCAGTTTTACAATCACCGACAAATAATCACTTTTAATATTAGTAATCACACTGTATCATATATATTATTGGCTCAAATCCTATTTAATCTCATCATTCAACTTAAATAATCACAAACTAGTCACAAAATTGAAGATTTCCGCCCATATGTCTTGAGTTTTTTGATCAAATATTCTTCAACAAAGTTTGATGGGTATAACGAGTGTCTAAATATTACTAATATTCTCAAAATTTTTCGTATTGGTACGGCAGAAAAAAGTTCATAAACTTAACCAAGATAGAACTAAAACCATGTAAAGTTAATTAATTGGTTCTCGTAACTCGACCGGGTCAAATTTTGAAAATTTTTATAAAAAATTTTTTATATGTTTTAATAACCGGATAGGTTTTTATAAATTATCTTAATATATGTTTATTTATTTATTTTGAAACTACTATCCAGCATGATCAGTAAACTTTTGAAGCCATTGCTCAGCATAAATAATAAGCCTATATATAAATAACTATTATAAGTACAAAGCGTGTATGCACTTTAAATTTTTTACTTTCGCTAAGTAATCTCAGCGTTTACTCCACTAAAGGATTTAAAAAAATGGCGGAATGAAATAGACCTGGATCTTGTATACACTCATTTAAAGTGTAATGAATTTTCAATTTAAAAAAAATTACAACATTAAAGTCATAGGAAAACTTTCGTACGATCAATTGTACTGTAAATCAATTGACCAGAGTTTTGCAGTAACGTGACCGTCACGTGGTGTGGCGTAATTTTTTGCTTTAGTTTAGGGTTTGGGTTCGGGTTCGTGTTAGGGTTTTTAGCTTTATATATTATATGTAAAATTGCATTTCCGACACTTTTTGTTAGTGCTTAAAGGCCGATTTAAACACCAGTTTTTGAGTATTTTTGCTTTTTTCTCTTTTTTTCTTCTTGCACACGTGTTTTGTTTTGACGTCGGACTGATCCGGGACGATCGAAATTTACGAATTCCGATTGGTCATTTTCTATACGCCACGTCACGTTACTGCAAAAGTGTCTAGACCCCTGGCGGGGCTGATACCAATTCAGATTGATGGTCGCAAAGATCTGCTATCCAATAATGTGCAAGATTTTGTACACGTGTTTATTTTAGTATTAGCAAAGCATTACAAATTTTAGTTCATAAAAAAATTTCGATCATATGTATACTTGAAACCTGTAAATTGATTCACTTTGTCGGATTCAGTCCCTGAAAGTTGATTCCAAATGATTACACATGATACTATTTTTGATAACACTGTTGCTTAACATCATTAAAAGAAAAAATAAAATTAAGAGCTAATCATCACATAGATTAGATTTTCCGTTAATCATTTAATTATCAGCAACTATCAGCAACTAATTAATGTAATGCTCTTTAAAGTTTTTTTTTTTAATGTTTGATATTTGATGTCCCTTTCAAATTTCTGTCTAAATGCACATAAGAGTTGTACAGTTTTAAATTGTAAATAAAGTATTTTGTATTCTAAGCTTTGACTTAACCAATCATAAATTTTACTATCGCCAGGTAAATAAATAATAAATATATATAATAAGATTAAAATTATAAAACGATAAAAAAAATCCTACTTTTTAATTAACGATTATATTACATTACGATTATGACTTAGAAATTTTTGTGTAGCTCGACGTACACAACCAAAAAGTATAAAAGGTTGTCCCTTTGTGGTTATTCCTTTACAGTTTTTTTACCGCAATGACAATTATTACTTCTTCATCAGTATCTAATAGTCCCAGTTTGGATTTAAAACTTCACAAGGCATTTTTTTAAATTTAAAATATTAAAAACCACAGTCGATGAGGTATATATATATATCGATACATTTGCATGAGTTTTAAATATTATTTAGTGTAATAAATAATAAAAAAAACCCCCATAGTGTTAATTACAATAATATGGCTAAATTTCCTTGTCTGGTCATTGATTTAAACATAAACTTTACTATTTATTGTAGAGAATAGAATCGGTGAATAATTATTCGAACATCAATTGAAAATTTCGAGCATCGAAATAAACTTCATTCATGAGTTTTAGTCATCATCGAACATTGGTCAAAATTAAAATTTCAATTGTTTTGATAGTGATAAGCCTTTTGATTTATTAATAATGCCGACTTTTTTCAATAACATTACTGCATTAATTAAAACCATGGAATTTTATTTAATATTGAATAAAAATACTGTATCTATCTTGCAAAGTTCTCTTTAATACTGAAGAGGACGAATCTAATTGTATTGATATTTCTGTCTATCATAGCTAATAAAAATGAAAAAGCAAGTTCTGAAGTTGTCGTGATGACCAACACCCTGTATCTACATTGCTAGGGTTAATATTATGTAAGATCACAGGTTACCCGAACATGACCGGGATTTGCATGAATTTAATTTAAAGTCGTGTTGGATAATGCGTGTAACCGGGTGATTTAATACCCGGATGATAATCTCTAATAAGAGAGTATCAATTCAAAAGTCGGTACGTAACAAGTTTTTTAGTGACAACAAGTTCAAGTTAGTAACGAAGTTTGCTTAATGAATAGAGCCAAAGACCCATAACTAAGAAGCTACGTGACACAAGTTTACCGTAAAGTGTTTATTAAATCTGTCCTTTCAAAGTCAAGATGATAACAAAGCTACAAATATTTTGCTCTTTTCCGAGCTTGATCTTGACTGTGATGTGATCAAAAATGGCGGTTTCCAATATTAAGTGAAACGATGCATAATTCTTGCAACAAAGTATACCAAGTAAATGCTTATTTTTTTTTCAGGCACAGGAAATGATATAAGTGCCAAAAGAGCATTATTTTATGATTGCTAATAATCATTGGCGGACTTTACAATACTAATTGACCTCATGTTGTTCCCTCACATTTAATAAAAATTCGATGAACTCGGTCAAAATTTTTTATCGATGCTCGCAATCGAAAGTTTATAACCAACCGATGCTCGAAATTCATCGATACCAATCTCTAATTTATTATCGTAGCTATTAGATTTGCTATATATGTCAAGCTATACGTTTTTAATTGGTTTATTCGAGGTTCCACCTGTATTATCAATTTGTGTATTAACCCTTTTCAATCTTTTTTGCCAGCGTGCCGTAGATTAATTCCATATAAATTTAAAGTTGGATACGGGTCTCCTTTCTTATTGGTTTCGCCTTTACTCGTCATACACCACATTTCCTTATACAGTATACTAAAACGGAAAAGATTAATTTTATATTATCTTCTTATAGCGTTGTATGCGCATGCCCAAAAAAATTTTCATTGTACTCAGGTATTTATAATTTTTTTAGTTGGATAGCATCTCACACGAATTAATATACACTGCATGTGTTATAGGTTTCTCACAATAAAACTCTTGGTAATTTCGGCCTATGTTGGATTTTTTTTTTTTATTGATTTTTTTAATTTTTTGATTATTTCTTCCTTATTTCGGGGAGGTTAAAGCGGATCTGAAATATAAGAAAGGTTAATGTTACGTTTTTGATATAGTTATGATGGTTTTTATAAAATAGATATCAAGAACGAATTTATGCAGTATTTAGAATTAACCCTGCTCTAATCAATCTCGTTATTTCATTTTATTTTTCTTTTGGCTCTTTTATTAAATTAATCTTTTGCATTAAAAAAAAAAGGCGCATAATTCTTGTAAATTTGCCTTGAAACTTTCTTTCGCTTGGTAAATTAGCCCTGGAGTTTTGTCCCTTCTTACAAATCTGGATCCTGAATGATGACCGATGATGCAATCAGATGCTGTAATTACTTATACCTGTCATACCTTGGACACGAACCTTATCATTCGAATTTTTACGATTCTTAAAATCGATCTGCATAAATTAATTTAATTTTTATAATGGGTTGTCATTTTCTAAATGAGTGTTGCCAAGGCAGAGCCTGTAAGCAAATATTTGAGGTATCAATAAGGCGAGTTTAATCCTGGGAAAATGTTACGTATTAAATCATTGTATTCAGATTTAATACGTAATATAACAACTTTCCCAGGATTAAACTCGCCTTATTGATACCTCAAATATTTGCTAACAGGTTTTGCCTTGGCAGCACTCAAATATGTAACCTTTTCATAGTGATCACATTACAGTACTATTTCAATGATTTCTATCGTTAGTATGTAAAATTTAGTTGCAAAATCTACTATTATTATTTTAATACACTGCATGAAGTTCACTAATGTATATTATTAACGTTATCTATACCTCAATTAATAATATCAAAGATATGTAGAATGTATGACGCACGAAAATTGGTTTGCGAAATTTGTAGATCAAAAGAAGAAATCACTATTTAAATCATAAATATATAATTAAGTTCTATATTATCATGTAGAAGACTGTGAATGTCATGGTAAAGACGTAACTTTAGATGTTTTTGTACCCATAATTCGTCGTCTTGATTTTCACGATATACTGTATATTTTTACTATAAAGTTTGGCATATATTTAGTAAACACGATCAAATTCTCTTAAGAATTCATCATCAATTATAAAAAAATAGCCATAGTCGTATTTATCTGAGAGTAAATTACTATTATAATAAAGCTAATCATGTATTTTTAGTACGTACGTACGTACATAATTTTACTTACATCTAATTATGAAATCAAAAGTTGTCATCAAACGTAAAAAATCTTATAAATACGTACAATGAAAGTAAACTTTAATTTTGAAATAAATACACTCTACCCTCATTATAACGGACTCCGATATAGCGGATAACTTATTATGCCGGAGTAATTTTCCGAAACAATTTAAAATTATTTATATAAAGTTCTGTAGCAGAAATTTTAATGCTAATTATTTCATTTTAATCATATATCGTAGTCACTAGAATAGCAAGTAAGTACTGTAATAAAATTTTTAAGTGGCTAATGATAGAAATTAAAACTATTCCAATACAAACCACTCAACTTAATCACATAATATAGCAATAGAATAGCAGGTAAGTTTTATAACAAATTTATTTACAACAATAGAAATCATGACAATTCTAATGCAACTAACTCATCTTAACTACATAATGCAGTATCAGAACAGTAAGTTTTGTAACAGTTGTGACTGAATGTGTATGCCATGGGCTAATAATGCCTGACGACCTGACGAGATTTGACGAAACAATGATGAAACTTATTCAAGTTATTGAATGTGTAGCATCCAATAAGTATACATTATACGACCTACACTTATTATTAAAAAGAAAATTAATATTTTCTATTATCTACATATAATAATGTGATTAAATAAGGAGAGGTGTGGCGACTTAGTGTAGTGGTCTAGTCGTCACCCTCTCCAAGTGGCAGGTCTAGAGTTCAAATCCCATTGGCGACGATATTTGAAAAATAGGCCTGTGTTCAGTTGACAGCTATGCTATCGGTTGGATCTAGAACTAAATCTGTAACTTCGGTCACACCATCTAGTAATGGGAGCTTTGGCGCAATAAACCCGAGGAACTGGCATAACCGAAAACCCATTTGGGAAGACCCGAATCTGGAGGTAGCAGTAATCTTCGACGGTATTACAAGAGGGCTGAATTCGAACCGGGGCCTGAGATCGGAGAACTAGCGACCAGGTCCTATGGCGGAGGACACACCAGCCGAACCACTGGGTTGTCGCACCGGAGAAAAAGGTCATATGCTCCGAAAGTATGGACCAAGGGGAGGGCATCCTTCAGGTACCTAAAGCCTGGGCAGACCAACCCTTCTGGGTTGCCGGCTAGAAGTAAAGGAGGGACTGATAAAGAATCCGGATAAGAAAACGGTTCAAATGTGAGTACCGGGGTTGTTGTGAACCAGATAAGGGCAAGAAGCCATCAATGAGATCATGTGTCAAGGAACTGCAGATTCATAAGAGTCCTACACCGTGGGGTAGGGACCCGGGACATCATTGATAGACTTGAAGTATGACAACAAATTGCAAGTGGAAACTTCGGTAACTGCAGAAAGATTGTTGTGAGTGGGACACAAACAATCTAAGCCTGGTAGGTCGCTTACCTTGCCAGCAGGTATTAGGTCGGAGGTAAATTGTGATACTAGAGATACTTCGAATTATCGCATAAGGTAGTTCCCAGATATAGATAGTTGACTATAGCCTTAGTCTCGACATACATAAAAAGTTAGTTGTATCACATGTCTGTAATAGATGTAATAGATATACAGTTAACATAATAAAAAGTATCTAGAGAAGCGATCTCATCTTGAAAAAAAAAAAAAAAAAAAAATTTTTTTACAAATCTTATAATTTTATTACTATTATATACCCAATTAACAATTTGACCTTTATTCAAATTTTACTAAAATTTAATATATCCAAAAACTAAACTAAATTCTAAAACCTTTCTTATTATACAAACTCTTTACTTCAACTACTATTTACAATACCCATACTATCACTAGCTTCACCAAAACTTTCTGCACAATGCAACCTTCTTAACTTTTCCAACCTCTGTATAAATTTTCTTTTCTGATCAAGAAAATAATTTAAAACATGACCATCTTAACTACTTTCTGAATCTTGTTCTAATGCCTGATTTTGTATTCAATCTTCTATTTCTTCTAACCTTTTTCTTATAGACTTCTTTTCATTTTGCAAACTGTATAATTAATATCTTACTTAATTCTTGCAAATATAAATCCTTTTACCAACCTATTTATATTACTAATACAAATATATACTTATCTATTCTTGAAAACCCAACTAACAAAAAATTATAGTGATAAATTTTCTTAGCCTGCTCTTCTGAAATCTTACTAACATTCTCCACAACTTCAATTTGCAATAAAAGCATTTCTTTTTCTTGAGTTAAAGCTACTACTTTATTTTGAAACAAATCTTCATTTTTTTTCAAAAACAAATCTTCTATTTCTTTCAAAGGCAAACTTCTTTTAAACTTTTCTTCAAGTACGCTCTAAAATAACTTCATCGACTCATCATTACTTGAAGTATAAACCAACTCTAAACAAAAACTTTAAATATATATGCTGTATAATACAAAATTTTTTGACAACTAACACAAGATCAAATTAAGCAATCCATTTGGTAGTTCTTATCCAAAACAAATCTTTAAAAAATGTACAAAAATGATTTTCATTATCCTGATGGTTATAGCATAGTGGTTAGGGTGTATTGCACTGCAGGACTATACATTTAAACCTTCTAGTGTATGTTAGGCCCAGTGCACCAAGGTAACATTATCTACTATAATACAGATATATTTTTTCTTTCTTTTCTTACTTTAAATATTATTTATATAGCTTTTCCTTATAACTTTTTATATATCATAGCTTAAATATATAGCACTGCAAGGTTATAAATTCAATTTTTTTTCTTCTTTCTTCTCTTACACTTTTTATTTTTATTTTTTATTATTTTTTTTCTCTAACTTCAACTCTTATTCTTATTATTACATTTCTTACAATATTCCTCTAGCCCTATTAAAACTATTTCAATTTAAATATATATATACCTTACTATTTTATATTAAACAAGGTTTTCTCCCAGCCTTTCTTTAGCTAATAGTAGTTTCATTAACTTAAATTAGCTCTAAAATAGAAAATTGAAGGTGTAATATCATATCAAATTAGATGTTTATAGAAAATCTATCTAATAAACTATTATGTATTCATGTAATACTTTGTAAAAGTTTTTCGCTTTTCTATATATAATATTAATATTAATAAAAAAAATAAAAAAATAAAAAAAATAAAAAAAATTAAAATAAAAAACTTTTGAGCAAATTTGGTTAATTAGTTGTTAAGATATTTTAATTTAAAAATTAAAAAAATTTTACTAAAATGATTTGTCCCTTTTTTATTAACTCCACCCCATATGTCCAAGTATTATGTCCAATGTCCAATTCAGCCTAATAACATAAAAAATAGTTAGATATATATCTAGTACCAACACTAACCAGAATATAGGTTAGATTTTCTAAATATGCAATAATCTATAGTAAATTATCTAATAAATAATCATGATTTGGTATAATATAATACAATTAGAAAAATTCAAACTAAATATTTGCTTTGTTATAAATTACTTGTTTTTTAAAAAGCAGTATAAAAAACTACCTTTAGTATTTTAACAAAATGTTTTTCTTAAATGATTTTACTATTAAAGCTTTTTAACTCTAACTTTAGCATAAATCTTAACTCTAATCTAAACAAACTTAAAAGAATTTTTTGATTCTTACATGATTAGAAAACATATTCTATATCCTGAATTTGTAATAAGAATATTGTTAAATGCTATATTGCAGATTAATATGATCGACCAATTAGATCACGGGATCTTGTGTAGCAAACCGAATGAAAAACCAGAAAAAATTAAAAAATTTTAAATATCTTGAAGTTTTATTATGTAAACCAGTCTTGGGCTTTTAATTAAAAGTTTTTAGCACTTAATTTTGCACATGTATATGCCCTCTGACCCTAACCTTAATACTAATTCGAACCCTAACCTTAACTAATCCTAATTTTAATTTTTTTTTAAATATTAACCTGCGATATCACAACCTGCTAAATTTATCAAAAATCTATTTTTAATACAGTAATAAAAGTAGATCAGAAATAAATTTATAAAATTTTAGTAGGCAAATTTGTCTGCTAAACTGGACGGTTTAAGGGATAAATATATTCGGACTTAGACCAATCTGCAGACTTCGAACCAAACCAGGACCGAACTCACAATTGAGTCTGAGTCTGGTCCAGTGACGGTGATTTTCTGCGGTGACAAAACCGTCCGTGATAAAAGATGATACTGCAAAAATTCTGCGATTGGCCAGAATTACGTTAACTCGCCAGCATTATAATCCGTAAATTCTGGTCAAATTAATGTCAGCCAGCATTATGATGACTTTAGATCCTAAATCCAGGTCAAGATCTGAACCAATTCCATGATTTTTCTGCAAAATTCCGTGAACGCAGAAAATCATCGTCCCTGGTCTGGTCTGAAATTGGACCAGACTTAGGAGCACTAGAACGAAGTTATGGTGAATACCCGATATAGATCCATATATTCGATATATATTTTTGTCTTGTATTTTTACATAGATATTATTTTATATAATTATTGAATACATTTACATTGGTGTAAAAAAAATAAGACCCAAGATTTGGGCAAACTTTATTAACTTAATAATAAAGATTATAAAACCCATTGTGATTTCAACGATGGGCCTTGCTAAAATTTTTGTCATATGGTTTCGATCATTACAATTCTCTTAATAAAGGGCAAGCATTTATAGATCCAAATACAAACCTCATTGGATAAAACTGAGGTTTGGATCGGTGAAAGCCCAGCACATTCATGCCAAAAAGAAAAGATAATTTCGTTATTAGTAGCAATAAGAATCTAAGATCCCGACAAGCGTAGATATTCATGCTTTGTTCATACCTCTTAGTCTCTGCCCCTACACTTCTATTTATCACATAATGCATCAATATAATATTATTAATAAAGCTCCCCAAATTTCCAGGTTGTACTTTGCCAATGTAAATATTTAATAGACATAATTTAGGTAAATGAGCAGTTGAAATTTAACTTTTAGCACATATCTCCAATGTTAACTTCATGATTTGTACGATTTGACTGTTTGATCAAAAATCTGAAAAGTAGATTTTATAAGGTTATTTTTTTTCATATCATAATCGAAGAATCAAAAAAATACTCTCTGCAGAAACAGAAAACATTAGCGTCATAAAAATTGCACATATCTCCAATGTTGACTTCATGATTTGTACGAATTGACTGTTGATCAAAAATCTGAGAAGTAGATTTTATAAGGTTATTTTTTTTTTTCATATTATAATCGAAGAATAAAAAAAATACTCCCTGCAGAAACAGAAAACATTAGCGTCATAAAAATTTTGACACATGTCTGTAGATTATTTTACTACAGCCATAAGGGTATGTTGAGTATATTATAAAGTCAATACACGGCCAGCGTTGAAGCGTATCCATCTGGTCGACCGCAATCTTCACAGAGGCTCCCGATGCTGGTAATAACGCCTCGCTTATCCAGATGAATAACCTCAGTTTTTTCCCGACCTTCAACTTAATACCTAGCAGACGCTTGCGCAGGGGTTGTGATTTTCATATTGATATGAAAACATCCGCAGAATACAAGCGAGTAACCTCAGTTTTTTCTGCTTGAGTAAACCAGTCCGTGTCGTGTTTTGGGCAAAATAGATAATCAATCATTTTACTACAGCCATAAGGGTATGTTGAGTATATTATAAAGTCAATGCACGGCCAGCGTTGAAGCGTATCCATCTGGTCGACCGATCTTCACAGAGGCTCCCGATGCTGGTAATAACGCCTCGCTTATCCAGATGAATAACCTCAGTTTTTTCTGCTCGAGTAAACCAGTCCGTGTCGTGTTTTAGGCAAAATAGATAACGATAATCAATAAAAATAAAATTGATCACACGTGATAAGGGCTGCAATAAACTAATTGATCAAAACATAGTAGGGTCGGATTTTTTAAAGGGTTATTTCACATATGAATTTATACACAACTAACAGTATCATATTTTTTTTTTAAAATGTAGCTCTAGACTAGCTCTACATTGAAATAGAACCGGTTTTTTAATAGCTTTTAATAAAATTTTGGTTTAATAATTAACACCGGTTATTAAAAAAACCGGTTCTATTTCAGTGTAGAGCTAGTCTAGAGCTACAGTTTAAAAAAATATATGATACAATTTTGTTTG